ACAAGCAAATCTAATCATCACTTGTGATAAAGATTCTACTTAAACAGAGGTGGTTGTGTGTTGTTTTGTTTTTAGTAATGGAACTATTTAAATGTATACAGCTCCCTCTTCTGGAAGAAAAGGAGAATCATATTAAGAACTGCCAGAGTTATTGCTTACTGAGCTAAGACTCAATAATGTAATTCACACTATAAACGGGTCAAATTTTCATCATATATTTTATGAATATGTTATGATAAATCTTATGCTCATTAATTTGAAAAAGAAAACAAGAAAAAATCAGAAGGAAACAGAATATTCCGGCCAGTTATAAAGGATCATCTCTCTTTCTGAAGATCATTTTTGGTGACACAGATAACTGTGTACTTTGAAAAATATTGGGGGGGGGGGTTCCTCTTGAAACTCAATATAAGTTACATGCTCAAAATGAAAAAAGAAATCAAGTTAGTATTGGTATTAATTTTAATTTTAAAAAATGTAAAGGAAGATGAAGAAGTGGATTTAGTCATAAGATCATTGTGGAATATAAGAGTTGCTGAGCACTGACTCTTGCTAAACACAGGTATGATCTAGGAAATTAAAAGCTGGTATTATTTTAAAGAAAGCCTATTATGAAGAAACTCTTAAGAGAAATAATAGAAATAGAGCCACAATAGGTGCAGATTCCATTAAATGTGATAATGCTCTGAGTGAATTTTCATTTTATAAACACTGTGAAAACCAAGGCATCCATGAAACATGCACACAAGACTAATGCATTAGGTATGTTGATGCTTTTTAATCCTGAAAATGATTTAACAGTTATAGGGGTTGTCAAAGCCAAAACTTTTACTTTGAATTTAGTAAGAGTAGTGTTTACTACTATTAAGTAGAGCACTGCTGAGATAAACTCTACATTTTCTGGAAAATAGTGAGAAAATGAAACTCTTTTAAGAGTTGAAAAATACAGAACAATTTTTAAAAGATAGGCCCAAACTAGACATAAGTTGCAGCTCACCTAACATCTATTTTCAATGCTTAAAAGCAGAAGTGGAGAGCCCAAATCAGCTTTGGATGGGGGGGGGGAGATCAATCTTTTCCAACAACTATTTCTCAAATTAAAACTTGGCAGGAAAAATGGGAGGAAAAGGTATAGTACATTTACCGTATTTTTCGCTCTATAACACGCACCCGACCATAACACGCACGTAGTTTTTAGAGGAGGAAAACAAGGAAAAAAATATTCTAAAGGAAACAGTGGATGTATGATTTTTGTGGTTCATGCTGTGGCCACAGACATGTGATCTGACAGTGAGTTTGGAGTAGCCCAATGCAAAAATCCTGAGGATCCATGTGGATCCATGCTTTGTAACCACGTTTTAAGTGGGGAGGGAAGGAAAAGCACTAAAGGGACAAGGAGCATGCGTGGGGTAGGTGGAGAAGGATGCTGCTAATAATTCAGAAGAGGGGTATACGGGGAGAAGGCTCCTCTCCTCTCCCACTTTGCTCCTTTAAAGCAAGCAGGCTCTGCTTTTCTCCCTCCTCCCCGCTCATCCCCGGCTTAGCGAGCTGAAAAACTTTGCTGCTATGTAGCGAGCTAAGTGGGGAGGAGAGAGGGACAGAGAGCCTGCTTGCTTTAAAGGAACCAACCGTTACACGAGTGTAAGCGGCTCCTCTCCTTTCCCGCTTTGCTCCTTTAAAGAAGCAGGCTCTCTGTCCCTCTATCCTCCCCACTCAGCGGCTCTTCTCCCGCTTTGCTGTTTCAAACCGAGCCACGGAGGAGGGAAGGAAGGGGAACCATGGATCCTCTGCTCACGACTGCAGCACATCCCCCCGCCACCCGTAGGCATTCCCTCCATAACACGCACAGACATTTCCCCTTACTTTCTAGGAGGAAAAAAGTGAGTGTTATGGTGCAAAAAATACGGTAATTGCCTTTCCCCCCTCCACTAGGCTAATAGCAACTTTGGAGGCTTAGACTGGGAAACCAACATGGAAGGAAAAGGTTAAAATTAACCTCATTACTGATCACCAAAGTAGCATGCATTCAACAGGAGAGACATGCATGGATCTCTTGTATCATAGGATGGTTTGGCCCTTAGCTTCTGGGTTTCTTATAATCCTTTTTGATTTTAACCCTTTTAAGATGAAACAATCACTCTCAGATTAAAGAAGCTAAAGCTCACTTCTGTACACACTTATTCTGAAGCAAGTCCTACAGCAGGCTTCCTCAACCTCTGCCCTCCAGATATTTTTTGAGACTACAATTCCCATCATCCCTGACCACTGGTCCTGCTAGCTAGGAATCATGGGAGTTGTAGGCCAAAAACATCTGAAGGCCAAGGTTGAGGAAGCCTGTCCTACAGTGTGGCTTACTGTCACACGTGCCTCACAAATCTGCTTCCTAAAGTCTAGAGATGATAGGAAACCGCAAACCAATAAATATCCTCATAAAGTGGTGAAAAATCTAATGTTGAGTTCAATCAATGAGTTATGCTTTGGAGTTTGAAACCATCTGGCAACTACGAGGGCAGCTTTCAGAAAGCATGTCTGCTGAGATTCTAGATTACACAGAATCTGAATATGCAAGATGCATATCATCATTATTTAGCCTATAACTTGTTATATTGAGATAGAAGGCTAAAAAATAAATTTTACAAAGGGGAAAAAACAAAAGGAATTGCTTGCAGGACATCCAATCTGCACAGTGTGATCTACCACAAAAAAGAGACTGAGATGTCCAGCAGGAGGCAGAAATAGAGTGTTAAACAGAAACAGGCAAGGCAAATCAAAAGGGGAGGGGGGCGTGAATGGAAATGAGGTAGAAGTTGAAATTGCTTTAAAGGAAAGGTCCAGCGTTCTGTTGTGGCTCCAGCTTTAGTGGTAACATTGCAGCAAATCTAAATATGTGGTACAGTACTTTTTAAAGAACCCTAGCAGGGCACTTCCAAGTTAATGCAATATGGGTTAGAAGTTGGCCTAATAGAGTCAGGGTCTGAAAGGATGATTTATGATACAGAGTTTAAACAGAAGTCATTCAGCAACAGGTTTTTATTTCCTGGCACCACACTGTAAAATTCCTAGCAGCTAACTTCCAAAAGATGACAGGGTGGCATTTAAGGTCATTTCAAAGATTAGGAAATGGAAATGAGTTTCACTTTGTTGAAGAGTTAATATGATTTAATGTTCATTGTTAAATTAAATTCAAACTAGATTTCATAACATGAAAATTTTCAGAAGTGTCAGAATGGTGCTCTTTTGCTAACAACCTTATAAAAAAACCTATGAGCTTTCTTGTTGCAGAGATTAGATACATATGTGAGCAATTCAGCTTCACAAAACAATGGAAATTCTGCTGACATTTCTTGAAGACAGGAGCAAGGAACCTGTGGCCCTCTAGATGATGCCAGAGTACAACTCTCCATCATCTCTGACCACTGAGCCAGGCTAGTGGGTGCTGGTGGGAGTTGGACTCCAATAGCATGTGGAGGGTAGCAAGATACCCCCATCTCTGCTCTAAGCAATTGCAGCTAGGCATAAACCAATCAGATTTTCCTAACCTGCTTCATCAGGAGAAGCCCTACACAAGGACTTCCACTTGCACAATAGGATCTTCCCCCCCATCTTTTACTCCACACCCCAGAAATAAAGTGCAAGTAGATAAATAGGTACCGCTCCAGTGGGAAGGTAAACAGTGTTTCCGTGCGCTGCTCTGGTTCACCAGAACCGGCTTAGTCATGCTGGCCACATGACCTGGAAGCTGTACCCTGGCTCCCTCGGCCAGTAAAGCAAGATGAGTGCCACAACCCCAGAGTTGTCCATGACTGGACCTAACGGTCAGGGGTCCCTTTACCTTTACCTAACCCACAAAACAGCATGTGGGGGAGAAGGCATATTGTTACACTTGGCAACCTGAAACATTTGTGCAGATGGAATGGTTGGAAGTGGGTAGCACTAAATTGCACCCAGTGATCTATGGAAGGCCGAATGACTGACTGACTGACTGACTGACTGACTGACTCTCTCTCTCTCTCTCACACTCACACACACACACAACACGTCTGCTGGCCTCACCTACGCTTCTCCTTTTGGGATGGGATTTGATTTCAAAAATGAATCTGCAATTAACCTTAGCAAAACAGGGTTATACATACATTCACACCCATGCAAGCAGAAAATAACGGAGAACAATCCTGGGGGAAATGTTAGAAGAAATGCCAGACATTTACAAGAATATGCTATTCTTTATTAAAGCTACAGCTACTGGAAACCAATTCAAAAACATTGAATGTTGAAAATTCTCTTTTTAAAAAATTGGATAATTTAGTCTTTTGTATCTCATCTGTTAACACTTCATTTACTACTAAACAACATCAATTTCCAAATGACCTTAATGCTTTTGCATCAACAGACTTCCTAGTTGCCCCAGGCAATTGCACAGATTTATGTCCTCTGTGATAGAAAAGCGCTTCCAAGCTGGAGGAGGTACATTGCGCTTCCATGTGTAAGACAGCTATTTCAAAAGCAGGCATGTAACTCCCAACTCCCCCAGTAAAGACCCAGCACGCTGCCGAGAGAATGCACTGGACCTCTCACACAGCCAACTGTGCAGAGTTCAGATGCACTCCCTGCCAGCTGATTAATGGAGCAGCATTAATGTCAGAAGAGGTTGAAGTCGCATAGCATTTGGGGGGGGGGGGGAAGAGTTACAATAGCAAAGAAAAATACACAGACATTAAGGGAGAAGGTTAAACGATAAAAGCAGGAACCTCTATAGCAATGGTAAGTACTTTGCCCTTACTGTGGTGCTCTGGAATATTGAAAACACTCTGTGTTTAAAAAACAATACAAAACTCTCAACACATGAGCCCTCTTTTGCGACTGAGCTTTAGTCATACATACCTTAGAGGCCTCTTCATAGCAACCTGCCTTATAATAAATCGGACCAATGTTCCATCCAGGTCTGTTCTGTCTACACTGGCTGGCAGCAGCTCTCAGAAAGGGGTCTCTCTGACACTCTCAGAAGATGCCAGGGATTGCATCTGAGACCTTCTGCACACAAAGCAGTTGCTCTGCCACTGAGCTATGGCCCTTTCTTCACTATGGTTCAATAGAATCAACATGATCAGTGAAGGATGGGTGACTGCAAGATATCTTCATAACCACTGTCAATCACAAAGAAGCCATTGACTTATTGCTGGTAGTAGGAGGTATGCTTCCAGAAAGAATGCAAATTCATTGGGTATAAGGTTTTGTACGTATATGTCATTTAAGGGTAGTGCTATTAGTGCTGTAGCAGACAAAATGTTGGACTTGAACTGGGCTCAATTGCCTGCTCAACCACCAAGTAAATAAATATTACAGTTTCCCGGCATTACAAGAAAGCTGATATGAATCGATGTAAAACATCTCTTTACAATATGCAGCACATCTTAAATAATATTTTATGTTGTTATTACGAAGCTGCTTTGAATTGTATTATAGTACAGTCGAACCTTGGTTCTCGAACTTAATCCATTCCGGAAGTCTGTTCAACTCCCCAAACCATTTGAAAACCAAGGCGTGGCTTCCGACTGCACTCAAGGAGAGCTTCCTGCACTCAAGTGGAAGCCGCATCAGATGTTCAGCTTCTGAAAAATGTTTCGAAACTGGAACACTTACTTCCGGGTTTTCAGCGTTCAGGAGCTTCCTGCAGCCAATCCGGAGCCATGCCGGCGTCATGGAAGTCAGTCACAATGGTTTAGCGCGGGGACTGACTGAGCAGGCGGCAGGATCCGCAAGGTTCACGGGCTGGATTAACAAGCCCAGTGGGCCGCATCCAGCCCGCGGACCTTAGTTTGCCAACCCCTGCTCTAGCTCTTACACTTCTACGGTTTCCCCAGTTTAATATTCCACCATTAATCCTATACAATTTTCACGGAGTCCCACTGAACCCTTGATTTTTAGTTCTTTATGAGCCACCTTTCACAATTTCTCTAATCTTTTGCCCAGTTAAGCACTTTTCAGTCATTTTGTGTGTAGACTGAACACACACGGGGTGGGGACAAAACTGCATCAGCAAGCGTTCCCCCCCAAAATGTGTGTACAGTTGACTCCCTTGAACAGTGTGGGCTGCAACATAGGTGTGCTTCAGTGGGAAATTCCTCAAATTAGGGGCCATCCAGAGTGACTTTTCAGCATATGCAAAGGGAAGGGAGGCACTGACCAAGTTAGCAGTCTTCTGCTGACCCTAGAACTAACCCCTTTCAATGTACTGTATCATTCATAGCTCATTTCAAATATTTTTAGATGGAAAATTCACTAAAGAAAATTACTATTCTCCCCCTTCCACCAAACCAGGCAATGCAGAATTTTCCAATTAAGGTGACACTTAAATAATGGCTCTATGTGAATGCATTTTTTTTTTAATGTAATGCATCCTTTTAATAAGCACAGTGTAATGAAACTGGCTGGAATAGGACCCAAAAATAGATACGCATTAACTGGAGCATATCCAAAAGCATATGAATTGCGCCATTCGATATATCAGAAAGTCAGAACGTAACAGTTATGTTTTCAAAAGGGCACCTTATTAAACAAAAACTCCCAGGAAAAATCATTTCCCCCCATCATTTTTTTTATTGAAAGTTTAATCTTGCTAGATAAACAATCAGGTTTGGCTTTTCATAATCTAGACTTTTCATTATATCTCTCAATAACTCAATTCTCAAGAACTCAAGGAAGTAGCATCTCAAATAGCACAGCACAATTTATTTAGGGTTCTTTGTATGCTCAACCTTTTTCTTTCCCCTTTTTTTAATATAGTGGGCTATATTTTTTGCCAGAAATTATGGTACAGCAGTGATAGGGATGATCACATTGAAACTCATTAATATAACTTGTTTTCCTATTATTAGCACCATCTGAGCCTGTTGAAAGTCTTAACCAGGGCTTTAATTTTTCCCAGGAGGGCTTTAAATTAATTAGAGGTTTACATGCTAACAAAGAATCTGATACATTCATAAATCAATCTAACGCTGAAGGATTACGAAAAGGGAGGGGACCAATTCAGCTGGGATCTCATATTCAGTTACATGGTGTGTTTCTACAAAAGGGTGCAGGTGTGAATTAGATGGATACAGAGAAGAAGCCACGATAATCACTTTGTATCACTTAAACCCACAGTGGGGAACACAGCAAATAAGGGCTTCTGGCCCACCCTTAGTGACATCTACGCCAACATGAAAGGGAATATCACACAACTGATTCCATTTTAACCTTCATAAATAAATAGCATGAATGCCATAATTTATGCTACAGGCCATGGGACAAAGAAAATGCAATAAGAGCTAATGTTGTTAGGAGGAGACATAGGATTTTGAAATATGCAAAGAATAGGAGTATGAACCACAAATAGTAGATGAAATAATACTGAAAATCTGACTTGTGCTAAAATATAAATCATTACAAACACATGTGACTTGGGACCTACTGGTGAAGGGCAGGTATTAATAATAACAATGCAATAATAATAATAATAATAATAATAATAATAATAATAATTGTGGCTGCTTATATTCTTCAGTTATATTAGGTATTTTGTTTCACTGAAGACACTATTGTTTTTCTACCATAGGAAACAATGCGGTGACAATTTATAGCACTAGCTACAAAAGAAGCGATAATGTGCATGTAATTGTCTGCTGAATTGTGGCCACATGCAAATTTAAGGACATGTCCACAATGCAGCCATTCCCTCTTCCCAGAGATCCTGGGACACTGTATTTCTGTAAGTGATAGCGCTAAAGATTTCTCAGCATCTAACCCAGTGTTTTCCAAACTTGGATCTCCAGCTGTTTTTGGACTACAACTCCCATCATGCCTAGCTAGCAAGACCAGTGGTCAGGGATAATGGAAATTGTAGTCCAAAAGCAGCTGGAGACCGAAGTTTGGGAAACATTGATCTAACCCAACTATAACCCAACTACAATCCACAGAAGTCTGTGGGGGAAAGCCATGACAGTTAAAGGTAGTGCTGGTCCCTGCCCCAGCACAAGTTCTATAGCTAGTCTCAACCTGCAATGGCAGCAGTATTTGCAACCTCAAGATGCCAATCTTCGTCAAGATGCCCACTAGGCATGGCAAACTGAGAAGGACAACCTTCCAAACTCCACCTTTCGCCAACTTAGGCACAAATAATTATCTTATGCCCACCTTCCAGTCCCCCATCTTACTCATTTCTGTTTCCTTCCTCCTTCTCTTGTATCTGGGGCTGTCAAACCATGCCAGTTCCTGACAGAGCCAAGTGGACCATGACATTTCAAAATGAATCTGAGTCACATTCAAATACAGGGAAACTTGAACAGCCTTTCCCCTCTGACAAGAAATGTGTTCTGTAAATGCAACTATCATACAGGTGCCACTTATTTGTTCTGAGTATGAGCATGTACTGTTTTTGACAGGTATGTGAAACCACCTTTGTGCTGCAAATGCTACTGTGATACTGGTCCACTAATTTCTGCTGCAGTGACTCCAGTGTACTACCTGGGATAGTGTCACAACCTTTTCTTTCTTACAAATGCTACAGATGAAATGTTCAGCTGGTTATAGTCAGAAGGGAGATTAACACCGAACTTTGTACAAATGGAATAAAATCCCACACGGCATGTTCTTAACACTATTCATGTTGAGAAAGCAACAGTATAAACTAGAAACTGTTTTCTATGCAGGCATGAAAATCTTGGGACAAATGGAAAGTGCAAGACGCAGAGGTCAAAAAGTTCTCATGCTACACATTCTTGCTTCAGATCTACAGGTGTTGCAGAGATACAGGTGGCAAATATTAAAAAGCCAACAATAAATTCACTATTACAAGTCACAATTGAAAAGGGCCCTTTTCACTTCATCTGTTTACGAATTGTGTTGATCAGGGAAAGTTCCAATCAAAGTTTCCATTTTCTATTTAAACAAATACATATGTGATATTAAAGAACCCTCCTTGATAGAATGATTACGGAAGTCTACCAAAATGGATTCAAGAACCATCCAGTGTATCATAGACCAGATACACATTATTGGATCATTAGATTAGATACACCTTATCATTTGATTAGATCATCCTTACATTCTGCCATTGTCTACATTCAGACACAGCTTTAGGAGACTCTTAGCCCAGAGGTTGCATGGGTTCCTTTTTAACCAGAGTCTTGTTATCTGTAGAAAATGACAATCATGTAAATGGATTTATTGGTGCTGACCTATAAGCAAGGGGCCAATGCTTCAGATCATGGTGCCCGCTCATTGCTGCTTTTCATCCTCAGTGAGTTCAGACCTACCACTGAGCACCAGGAGCAGCAGGGTGCAGCTACTCTTGCCTGAGGGCTAAGAGTCAACATCATCAGAGGGCCTAGCACTGATATTTGCCACAGCCAGGCCACACAAGTGGCGAAAGACGCTGGTCGCAATTAGCATCCTGCTGCAGCTGCAGCTTCTGTTCAAGCAGTCACTACTAACACTCAGTTCAGCAGCCTAAGGCATGCTCCAGCCAATCCATGGTGTGATGAAACTCAGGAAACTGACAAATCCTTACAACAGCACCTGCCCAAACAGGTATTAGGGTGCAATGCCGAAGGTAAGTTCTTCCACAAGCTGCACTTAAAAACAGTATGGCTTCAAACCATGCTGCACTAGATGAGAGTTGGGTGCTTTTTAGTGGTTTTCAGCTCTTTCTGTGTGTGGCAGGATTTACTCATGGCTTGTTTTTTTCCTTTCTTGTGTTGCCTACTTGTGGCTGTGGATTTTAATGTTAGATTTTACTATATTTATTCCATTTTTATTTGCATACCAGCTAGAAAATTTGTGAAGTGACAATGCGTGTTTTCACACTGTGAACTGAAGTACTTTCTCTTGTGCCCACTTGGGAGTTCCTTGAAGAGAGTTTTGCATTTTAATAGTGGGGAAGGTAGCATTTGTGTACCCCTGGCATAAAGATGAATGACACCTCTGGCCAACCAACACTTGGAGCCCCCATATCTGACCTTAGATTCTTATTGCTTAAGTGATTTTATTTATTCATTTAAACATATCTTTATTAAAGATTTTTTGGTTTACAAA